AACACATGCAGATTAACCTGAAGCCTACAGTGTTCTTTGGGGAGAGAGTTGCAGGTGTATGGAGATATATAGTGGCTCCATCTGTGCCATCTGTAAACATTGAATTCAGCTTCCAGGAAACGATTCTGGACTCAAGAACAGAAACAGGCCTCGGCCGTGACGTCAGTGAATACAGTGGAATAAGCTGAATATTGCCGCCACCTCATATTAGATCCATTGTGTGGCATTTTTTCTATTACAAACCTTTAGCTTTGTGTTTTACCAACATTCACTGATCATTAATTGATCTTGTTTTGGCATTCACCAATTTCACAATCTATGTGAAAACTTTGCAAATTTTAGGTTTGCGTCCGAGTTTGATGGGGAAAATAGCTCCCACTAGCAATTGAGGGTTGGTGTGGGATGTGGATTTACATTAATAGCTACTGCATCATCCTTTCGTTAGATATGTGAAACAGCCGAAATACTTCCTTCGTGATCACGTGTAAATTTCGTTACAGGGAAAACAAAACTGATACGCTATAATTTTATGTCATCACAAGTACACGATGCAGCACTGACCGGTAAGTAGGGTTTGGGGCACACATGACAATTATCATCTCAAATCTTTGTAATAATATATTATTATTTCCACAGCAAAAAATGAAAATGTTTACTATAACTTCTGTGGATGGCATTATAGAAACATTATGAAATCAATAGTTTTAATAAAGAAAGAGTAGGCAAAGATTTCAGCATCTTTTTTCAGTTCGGCGTCAGTACTGCTGCTTGTACATGTAAGACGTGAGTAGTTGATTGTGATATTGTTAGGGTTGAATAAACAGCAAAGGGCGTGATATTACGGTGTGTTTTTATATAATCCCTTTAGCATTTATCCGGTGGTGCTAATGCACAAGTGATATTTATCGTGGAGAAATAGCACTTCTATGTTTCCGTCTGTGATGATGTTTCTGTACGGTTGGTTATGTTCATATTGATATGTGTATGTTGACTTTCAGCTCACGACATGATTAGCTTTTTGGTTGCCGCCGGGTTGATCTTGCATTACCCTCACGTCAACAGGTAACAACATCCGGGGCAAATTAACACCTCTGATAGGTTGTATAAGGTAGACCAGGTTTAAATAGACAAGACATCAGACCCACAAACCAGTTGATAAACATGTAGGTAAGATATATTAGATTTCATGACTTTCGAATTCTTTTGAACACAAAGAAAGGTGAGAAAATACTTGAAACATTTGCAAACGAAACAAAATGACAATTTATACAAATATCCGCATTTATTCAAGTCCATTATTACCATGACATATCCGCAAAAATGAAAAGCAATCACTCTTTGTTACACTATAACCATTGATGATATATTTGATGTTCAGTTTCAGCTGCTAGGTGCGAATAATCAACACTGTTCTGATTGTGACGGTCAAACAGGTCACTGTCGGACCAGGTGTCATCCTGGGTACTTTGACAAGACATGCAGCTCGAAATGCAGCCCGGTTGTCGCAATGGCACATGTGAACTCTCAAAAGACAAAGGCACTGATATATGTACTGAGGGCTGTATAGCAGGGTACCAAGGCAATAGGTGTAAAGTATTGTGTGACACACCCGTGGGAGGATGTACTAAGTGTCCAGGTGGATGTACTGACAGATACTGCCAGCAGGGAACCTCCTGTGTGGCTGGATGTGTGGACTCCTACTATGGCATTGACTGCAAGAACTGCTCCATGAGATGTCTCTCATGCGACAGATCCACAGGAACGTGCCAGGTTTGTCAAGCAACACATTTTGGTCCGCATTGCGAGCACAGATGTGAGCATTGTGTAGGAACGTGTCTGACAGAATGTTTGGGGGTTGTGAAACCGGATTTTACGGTCATCAGTGTGAAAAGATCTGCAGCAAACATTGCAGATTTAATGCATCTGGAGGACTGTTTTCACAAGGAAGGAAACCCGTGTTTGTCTGAATGTGACAAAGTAAGCGGTGAGTGTAGACATGGTTGTGTCAGTGGTTGGCATGGCAACAACTGTTCTTCACCATGTAACCCGAACTGTAAAGATATGCGATGCGACATTGATGGTGTCTGTGCTGATGGCTGTGTGTCTGGGAACATTGGTAAAGAGTGTAAACCATGCTCACATAACTGCAAACATGGCATGTGTGGACCCACAGATTGGTTATTGTCTTAAAGGATGCATTTCTGGGTTTTATGGTGACTTTTGTAACGGTAAGTTGTGAGATATGTCTTGGGGTACATGTGATCAGGTTACAGGAATGTGTTTCCATGGATGCAATATCAGCGGCGGTGCCTGTGAGTCCACCTGCAAACACAACTGCTCCAGAGAAAGATGTCTCAGGAGACATGTGAGAATGGTGAGTCTGTGTGCATATATCACAGGATTGTGTTCTATAAGAAATATTCAAAACAAAACAATATCTATCCACAAATATGTCCATTAAGAAAGGATATTAATTAGATGGTACTATTGTTCACAGGTCAGCAACCGACACACGGTATCTTGGGTATGCAATAGGAATACCAACAGCCTTTGTCCTGTTTCTTGTGGGCATACTGGCCACCAACTGCATCTGTTACAGAAAAGGGCTGTGTACCAAGAGGTGTGTATGTTACATTCTGACATCACACATCTACATGGTATAGATCAACTATGGAGTTATATAGAAAGGGAGATAATGGTCTTATATTCATGTGTTTGTTTCAAAGTCTGCTTGAATCAAGGTGACAACATCTAAGGCCCCAATGCAATTTCCTAGTTTGAATTATACCATATGTTACTTGTTTTGTACTTGCCTTTGGACATACCTTTGATCTTGTGGGTGGTTCTGTCAGATGCAGAGGTGTGATCTGAAGTGTGCACTAAATAAGTACAAGTATATGTGATAACATTAAGTGAAAATAGAGCTTGTAATCCACTATAGTTATGAAGAAATTATACACTGGCAGGTCAGTGAGTCAAGGGTTATCAATCATTTAAGCCATAGCATACTTCCTTATATGAACTAGGTTAACCAGCCAGTGGAGGACTGAGTTAGAAGAGAGCCTTGATACTTCTATAATAGGTGCCTTTTGAGAAAAGTAGCAAGGTAAAGATCACGTGCAGCAATACCATTTTGTTACGAAGTGTTTTGCATATTAACATAGGAGTTAAAGAGGTGGCCAGTCGTCAAGCAATCATCTTTAGATTGATCCGTGAGACTCACTGAAAGTACATATCTGAGGATACTGTTCATTGTGATCAATACTGGTCAAATCATGATTAAATATGATACGGTGATATAAACATAGCATTCTCAAGCTACATTGTTCTGTGTGCAGGGAGGCTGAAGGGGACAGTGTGAATCCAGAACCTCTCCCACGGCAGCCAACTGCTTCATCCATGGAGTACATGGAGCTACACAGATACTGGGAAATACCAGAGGATGGCAGGGACATGGAATATCAGACGATCAATGCAGTCTGACGTAGGGATCGATATTCTGCAAAATGCTTTCAGGACACATTGGATGCAAGTTATCAAACTACACCATGGGTGTTTATGTTAAACCCAGAGTCCTACATCCATATAATGCGAGGAATGGATCAATGAAAACATGATTATGTGCATATAAAATGTATGTACTTTTCATGCTCCACCAAAAGCACTGTGCACCATTTGTTTGATAATTATCTACATCTAAACTTCGATTATAAAATGTTTATGAAACCATCTCCTCTGTTTAAAACATGGTTGTTTCTTTGAGTGCTTGTTTAATATATATGAGACAATGTCACTTATTACGTGATGTTTTGTTCCAATTTCTCAAATCCCTCTCACTAATTTGCTGAACAAACGAGTGGCATTTATCAGACTGCTTTTGAGGATGTTGAAACCATTCTCACGAATTCTCCTCTTCTCAAAGCATCACATATGAAAAGACCTTTCAGACTGGCTATAGATGCTTGTGACACTGGTTTTGTTGCACAAGCGTGAATAATGCTTTGACTTGTTAAGTGTATGATACTCCTCTCTCTCTGTATATTGCAATGTGTCAGTGTTAAATATTACGAAATAATGTTTGAAGTATTATTTATATTCTACCTTGATTTGCACTTTCACTCTACTCTGTACTCCCTTTGTTAAACGTTTGTATTGATTTGAAAACTTAGTTGATTTTAAAATACAATTGTCAATAACAGCATAATTCTTTTGTCTGTTGACTTCAGACCTCGATCATATACATAACTATTACCCAGCTAACTGTTAGAATCAACTTGGGAGTCAGCTCGTAACACACTTCTTCATAATCTGTGGTCACCCTGATGTGTGATCAAACTGTGCGCGGACCGATATTACAGTTGCCTTACAGAGTCACACTAAGTTTAATACCTCAATTTCTCAAACACATTGTTTGGAAAGGTTAACACTTATGGTATAGACTTGATCAATCCTTCCTGTTTACTGGGAATACATATGGTACATATGGTCGTTTCTCTGACGATGCTGACGGAGGTTTTACTTCACACACAGAACGGTGAATGTCTGGCTGATTACATTTTGTGTTCCTGTCAAATCTTTGAAATAATTGATAATTTTGAAGTCAGATCACTTTCCCTTATTATGTTTCTTCAATAGATCAGAAAATCGTGTAAGTGAAGAAGTTTTTTTTACCAAACTGATGGAAATAAGTGGAAGCCGCCAAACTCTGATATATTTCTTGAATCTCTTAGTGCACGTATATCTCTGTTGGAAATGAACGATTTTTCTGCTATATCAAATAAGCACACGGGTGAAGCTGCTAATAAACTTATAAACATTTCCAAGAAAGCGGAAAAGACGCAAACATGTTATTAAGAAAACGTGTCATTAAAGACATAAGTGAGTTATGGTACGACCATGAGTGTCAAGACTTAAAGAAAAGAAAGTATTCAGCATTAGATACATTCTGAGTCACAGGGAACTTCAACTATCTTACCGAATTTAGAATTTATAGAAACAAATACATAGAAGTTTACCGTACGAAGTGCGATTTGTATCACGAGTTTACAACCATACAATTATTACAATCATGTCAGGATGGTAACTATAAAATATTCTGGTCTGGTGTTAAGTCATTTATTAGGTAAACCGGTTACACAGGCTACATCGATCAGCAGTTTGCAATGGGTCGCTTACTTTATAAATATTCTGAACATTAATGATTTTAACATAGACGAAGATTTTATGACCTTTGCCAACCAGTATATGTTGCAAAATGAATTTGGATTGATTGATGATGACTCTTATAATATTCTAAATAAAGAGATAACCATAAATGTAATAACAAATGCATTATCAGCTTTAAAATTTGGCAAAGCATGTGGTCCTCATGGACTACCTCCTGAAATGTGGAAACACGGAGGTCATATTTTACTACCTTATTTGCATGTACTTTTTAATTGTATTTTTACGTCGGGAGACTTTCCTTCTGCTGGGTCACAAGTATTATCTTCCCACTTCAGGAGAAGGGGAACAGAAATGATGTTAATAACTAAAGAGGTATTTCCTTGATGGACACATGCGGGAAAATATTCACTATACTTTAAATGAAAGATTAAAAGCATTTGTTGATGTGTATAATTTAAATCCAGAATGTCAAGCTGGAATCCGCTCAGACTATTCAACTGTTGATAATGTATTTACCTTACAGGCTTTAATTCAAAATTACTTGCCCAAGTCTAAGGGTCGATTTTATTGTTTATTTGTTGATTATCATTAAGCATTTGATTTTGTAAATAGAGATATATTATGGTATGTTCTTTCTGAAAACAATATTCGTGGTAACATGCTTTCAATAGTGCGTGATATGTACAATAAATCAATTTCAGCTGTAAAACTATCAAATTCTAGCATTTCAGAATATTTCAATTCCGTGAGTGGTGTGCGACAAGGATGTATACTCAGTCCATTATTATTCAGTATGTTTGTAAAACAACTTGAAGAGGATCTTACATCGTCTGACGAAAGAGGTAATTTTGTTGGAGCAGAAGTTTTAGAGCTCTTTTATTATTCTATGCTGATGATTTATGTATATTATCTGACACAGTTATAGGTATACAAAGAAAGATTAATATTTTATCCAGATTTTGCACAAATATGGGGCTTAAAGGTTAATTTAACAAAAACAGAGATAATTGTTTTTCGCAACAGAGGTATCGTGAAGAAGACCGAAAAGTGGATGTTTAACCATGTGAAGTTGAAAACCACATGCTATTACAGCTATCTGGGTATTTTATTTTCCAGCAGACTATCTTGGTCAAACGCAGTCCAGACTCTCGCTCAGAAAGCTAATAAAGCCCTTTGTCCAATGAAACAGCTTCATCATAAAATGCAAAATCTTTCTCCCACTGTCTTATTTCAAAAGTTTGATACACAAATTAAGCCTATCTTATTATATTGCTAAAAATGGGGTTTTCAAGAGCGGCTCAATCTAGAAAGATTTCATGTGAAATACTGTAAATATGTTCTTGATGTTGGTATTACTACAACAAATGCAGCTGTTTTATCTGAATGCGGTCGTCATCATATATGTTGGGATTCTATAATAAGATGTGTTAAGTACTGGTGTAAATTATTAATTATGGAAGAGACTAGATATCTCAGACAAACTCTATTTTATGTTAAAAGAATGGACGATATTAACCGCAAGTTAACTGAAGTGAGGAAATTAATTTATAGTTATGGTTTCAGCTATGCGTGGGAGTTTCAAAATATTGTTAACACTGCCTGTGTCATGTGTCAAAATTACGTTTAATAAGGAATCATATTTGTCAACATTATATAACACAGATTTAAGAAGATTGTTATCACTTTGAAGATTCGGTGCATTAGATATTATGAAACATACAGGAAGACGAAACAATATCCCAAGAGAATTAAGATATTGTCCATTTTGTAAGAACATTTTAGAAGATGAGGTTCATTTTATGTTTATTTGTCCACAATATGATGATTTAGGAACAGGATACATGTTAAATATTGACGGTAAAGATAGAAACTCTCTCATTCGCTTTCTTCAAAATGAAAAATAGCAATTATTTATATATGTATGCAAACTATATTAAGGGAGCGTTTATGCGACGTAGCGCATTATTATTGTGAATATATAAAAATATGTTCTAGTTTTTGTGCACATCATACCTTTTATATTGTAATATATATTGTACTTGAGCCTGTGGCCTTCTACTAAATAAAGTTATATATGGAAGCATATTGGTCCGATGAGTTGACAACTACATAACGGCTAGTGAATGTCTCTCTACGTCAGCGCAGTGTGAACACGGGCCGCGATCCCGACTGTGTGCATGCATGCATGCACATGTGCATCTAGACAACACAAGGTATGCATGTAGCCGGACACTCGTGCATTTTCAGTACATGTTACCGTAAGAGGTGACACACGTATTTCTGATTTACATAGCAATCTGTCCATGGTCTGCAAGTTACATGTGAATACAAATATATGCATCATGCTCACTCGCTCAACAACACCTGTTCCCCGTGTGTATTTCTGTACTATCAGCAGCAAGTTGGGGTTTAGGAGACAAACACAGTCAATCTCGCTAAGTGTGATTATAATCTACTGATTGTGTACTTGTGTTGTACATGATTACCAGGAACAGAGCCCTTTTCACAGATCTATTCATATGAGGTACACTGAATAGCATGAAGTAATTGATTGCTAAAAACACAGCCGACCCGGAAGTAAACCCGTATATCAGCAATGTGAACTGCGCTTGGCTAAATTTAAACACGTGGTACGGGTGTGACTAGGAACACACACTTGAGCGGGGACATTACCTGAGTCGCAATGGGACTGACCTGTATGTTGAGGTACGTGAGTCGCAATAGGACTGACCTGTATGTTGAGGGGTACTCGCTATAGGACTAACCTGTATGTTGAGGTACGTGGCTGTTTTATGTTTGATATCATCAGCAGCAACATCTCTTAAATATAACTTGGGAAATTCTCCTCACTGACTGAGTCGCAAACTACTGAGCCATCAAAACAGAACAATACTTGTTTCATGATTACCTGGTATTCACCTGTATAGCAGCGACGGTCGCTCTAGTTACCCATAGCAGTAGTATGACACTGGTAAGACTGATATAGCACAGTTAACAATACCATTGTGATAACACTAACACATGTGTTTTATGGCATTACACACAGCTTGGAGAAAGTCGTACAGTCATTAATGAAAGATGACTAGGCCCATGCAGGTTAACGACAGACAAATAGATACTAGGTGTATTTTAAAATATGTGAAGGTTTGACTGTACTGACTAAAGAAAACTGTAAAACATTGTGGACATGGGTAACAGTTACTGTTATATTTTCTATTTTCAAAATTTCATGTAAAGAATTAGATAAACTGCGTAAAGATGTGTTATGTATTTCCTTACAGTGACCAACAAATGTGAAATACAGATTCGTCTTGGAATTATTTGGAATATGTGATCATGTTGTTTACCTATTAATAGATAACACATGGAAGCATTTTGAAGTTTAACTTCAACTGCTAGTGGTTACAAATGTTAGGACTGAAAAAAACCCGAAGTTAATGTACGTCTTTATATTTTTTGTTTTATAATCCTGATTAATTTATTTTCATTTTGGAACTTCATAGAAAGTACACGATCGATCCGTTTTTGTGAATAACATCGTTCCGTTTTTGCGAATAACATGACATGTAATATCTAGACATTTTGTATATTGAATATGTAAAATGATATTTCACAAACACACACACACACGCGCGCACAAACACACACACACACACAACACACACACGCGTGCTCACGTCTTAAGTGCGAACTAGAGCACGTCTGCCCCTGCATCGATGTTTACGGCGGGAAAAATTGAAGAGAAATGATTCCGTTGAATACTACAACAAATAAATAACAGCATACAGATATTTAAATTAAGAACGACACTACAGTTATAGCAAGAATATCAGTCTATTACCTTCTTTGAGGAATCGATATAAGGGAACAATATTCCATTCATGTGCGGCTGACACAGAAACATGTTCCATGTAATGTATAATTCAACAGACGAGTATGCAAAAATGTGTGCCCAACGTTATAACTAGTGATATTTTCTCAGGTTTTTCACATTGGTGTAGCGTCTCATTGGTCACCCAAGATAGCACACCTGAA